AGGAATGGCGTATATCAGTCGATGTCGCGAGTTGCGCGACAAGCTTCTGCGATGTGGGGGGTCGATTTCTGAAGACGCCTTCGTGACAGTTATCATTGGCGGCCTCGGTCCTCAATGGCGCGCCACAAAGGCCATTCTCCGAGCCCACGGAATAATCTCCGAAGCAGCACTCTGCGCCGAAATCCATGCCGAGCAGCAAGACATGGACCTGCAAGAAGAACGACACAAGAAGAAGATATCAGCACCGGAACTCGCATTCCACACTCAGCGACGCTACAACAACTACAAACAACAACAACCGAAGTCCGTACCTCCTTTCTGCCACATCTGCAAAACGTCAGGGCACCCGCGCACACACTGCCCGAATCGACAACAGTCAACTCCACCTCAACGGCAGCTTCGACCTTCCAGTAGCCAAGTGGCATCAACACAGGCGAACCCCACAAGCCAGTCGAAACCGTCAACAACACAACCTGCACAAGGAGCAAGGAACATCGTCAGTTGCATGGCAAAACTGACCGATTCCTGCATCACCGAGTCACCGCCACACTACTCACCGGAAGAACGACTTGACGACACCACACCTCGCCGCGAGTCACTCCAGCCGAACCCAACATACGCAGCCATTGCTCAAAGCGAGCCATCCGGGAAAGACACGTGGTTCTTGGACAGTTGCTGCAGACAACACATGTGCTCTTCAGGACACTTCGTGCAGCGAGAGTATCGACTTCAACACGAAGTAGTCATCACCGTCGCCAATAATCAGAACCTGCGCACACAACGACAAGGCGTGGTACAACTTCAATCACGAGAGACAAATGTCGTTCTACAGATGTCTAAGGTTCTAATCGCAGAAGGCCTCGGCTACAACCTACTGACCGTCAGTCAGTTGATAGCGAAGGGCATTCACCTCGAGGCAGACAGCACCACCCAGGAGTTCAAGCTGTACCACGGGAAGGGCGGCCTCTACATCGGAAGGGCGATCCTCAAAAACAACGTCTTCGTTCTTGACTTTGTCCCAGATCTCGGCACAGCAGACAGCGACGGCATCGTCACCTTCACCTCCTGGACCCATCCTCCAGACCTTGATCCAGACTTCAGTCCAGAAGGCTTCTGGTATTCACACACCATCCCTGAGGCAGAAAGAACAAGGGCGTTAGCAACAATTCAGACAACATCAGCAGCAGCAGAGACAACATCGGCAGCAGCAGAGACAACATCGGCAGCAGCAGAGACAACATCGGCAGTAGCAGAACCATCAACGGCAGCAGCAAGAACGTCAACACCAATCGCTGGCCCTTCAACGGCACCGCTCCTCGTCGACGACACACCACTCACACCCGCGCAACAACTACACCCAACACCACGAGAAGTTCATCGTAGCACCAACTTCACCGCCAACTTCTACTCCAACTCCGAACTGTACCGACGATCACCCGGACATCGCGCCGACGAAAGCACCTGGCACGCAAGGATGGGACACCCAAGCAACACAGTATTAAACAATACGATACGAGCAGGAGTACTTGACAAGGACTCACTACTACTGACCGATGGAAGAGAACTTCAACGAGTACGTGGAACGTGCTTCACCTGCCCTGAAGCTGACTTACCACATTGACCGTTCGTGTCTCACCATAACCCAAGCGCACCAGCTTACACGCCACTCGAGAAGGCGTACAGCGACATCCTGTACAATCGCGAGCCGGGGCAGAACGCGTACAACTACACCATCACGTTCATCGACGCCGCAACACGTTACGTTTGGCACCTGAATCTTCCAAGCAAGGATATGGCGTTCGAAGCCTTCGTCGCGTGGCTCCCAGTAGCAGAGCAAGAATCGGGCGTCAAACTAAAGAGCTTCCAGTCAGACGGGGGAGGAGAATACACCTCACAAAGGTTCAAGCAGTATCTGGCAGAGAGAGGAATCAAGCGGCTCATTTCCCTTCCCTACGCCCATCAACAGCAGGGTGTAGCAGAGAGGATGAACAGGACCCTCCAGAACACCATGCGGAAACTGTTACGTGGCATGCGGCTACCCACCCACCAGTGGCCCGAAGCAATGGACCACGCCGTGATGCTGCACAACTTGCTTTCTTCGTCGTCACTTCCGAACAACACATCACCGCATCTGCTGTGGACAGGAAAACTGGGCAACACAAAAATGTTACGAGTCTTCGGCTGCATGGTACAGTACCGACCTCCATCTGCACGAGCAGGACGATTCTCCCAACGAGCACAGTGGGGACTACACCTGGGCATTGAAAAACACTACAACGCATGGAAGATTTTCGACGTCGAGACAAAAGAAACAGTGGCAGCACGTGATGTCATTTTCTACGAGCGACTCACACTGCAGACGTACCTTGCCAACCTGGACGAAAACCGAGACCCCACAGGTGGCTTCCGTGGAGACCGAGCCTTCGCTTCGGCAGAAGACGAAGCTGACTGGGACGAGCAGAACGTGGAAGGAGCCTCGGAAGAAGCCGGACCCCTCCCCTACTGCTCCGTCAACGTGCCAATGGACGACGAAAACCCACGCGAGAGCATCAACGCCGAAACCTACTACCATTTCGCTGACAACGGTTATGTTACACCTGCACAAGTAAACACCGACGAAGCAGAACGCGTAGGACCCAACTTCGCACCTGATCCAGAAGCGGGAGACGAAGCTGCTTATCCCGCGGACATGTCACTCCCCCGCTACACACAGAGCGGACTCCAGATACTCGGGCTCGTCACCGCAGTCCACGGCACGGGCGTTCCCAAGGAGCCTGCGACGGTTCAGCAGGCTCTGGGGGGGGAGCATAGGGAAAAATGGCGCGAAGCCATGGACAAAGAACTGAAGGCATTAGAGGAGCGCAACACGTGGAAAATTGTCCCCATCGGCGTAGCACGGAACAAAACCATTCTCACCGGAAAATGGGTCTTCCGCGTGAAGACAAAGGCCGACAGCACCATCGACAAATTCAAGGCACGATGGGTCGTACGCGGCTTCGACCAAGAACACGGGCGAGACTTCACCGAAACCTTCGCTCCGGTCAGCCGACACACTTCGCTCCGAATCCTTCTCGCAATCGCCGCCATGAAGAAAAAGAAGCTGCGGCAAATCGATGTCGCGAACGCATTTCTCTACGCACCCGTTGACGCAGAAATTTTCGTGGAACTACCGCACGGTACCAACGGGGAGCCCAACCAAGTCTGTCAGTTGCTGAAGTCGCTCTACGGGATCAAGCAAGCTCCGCGGCTATGGCAGCAGTACCTGCACGCTCGCCTCATTCGCATCGACTTCAAACAACTTTCACACGATCAGGGGATGTACCGACTCACGAAAGGCGCAGATTACATCCTGCTAATCGTCTACGTAGACGATCTCCTCTACATCGGCTCAACCGACAACGTCACCACCTGGTTCGAAGGGGAGCTGCAGCAGGATCTCACACTGACAGTCTCATCTACCGTTACACAGTACCTCGGGCTCAACATTCGGGAAGAGGAAGACGCTATCTATCTCAGCGCCGCGAAATACGCCGACACCATCGCCAAGCGTTTCGCACTTACACCAACTGTCATCTCTACACCGTACCGCTACACGTCAGGAAACAACAAGGAAGGCTCCGCTCTACTCAAGCCCGCCGGCATACGCGACTACCAGAGAAAGCTGGGCTGCCTTCTCTTCGCAGCTGTCACCTGCCGCCCAGATCTATCGTACTCTGCAAGCCAACTCGCCACCTACCTCAAGAGGCCCGAAGCAGAACATCTAGCAGAACTCGACCGCGCTCTTCACTACCTCATCAGCACCCCGACGATTGGTCTAACTTACTACAAGAACGCAACTACGCCGCCTAAGTTAATCGGCTACGTCGACGCCGATCACGCTGGCGATTCCGACAACAGGCGTTCTCGCACTGGCTACATCTACCGCCTCGAACCTATCGGACCTATCTTTTGGCAGTCGAGCAAGCAGGAATTAATTGCTCTCTCGTCAGCTGAAGCAGAATATATTGCACTCTGTTCAGCCACCAAGGAAGGACTTTACCTTCGCGAACTGCTGGAAGAAGCGAAACTGGCTCAGTTACCCAGCTTCACCCTGTTCTGCGACAACCAGTCGGCAATTCGCATCGCCAACAAGAACGGCTTCGCGAACAGGACGAAACACATTGCCCTGCGATATTTCTTCGTGAAGGACGAGATCGAGAAAGGGAGGCTCGAGCTGTCATACTGCCCCACGTCCGAGATGGCAGCTGACTACCTGACCAAGAAGCTCGGAAAGCAGAAGTTCGAATACTGCATGCTGCTGACTGGACAGAGCCACGTCAGCGACACTCCAGAAGCGAAGGGGAGTGTTGGAAACAATCGGTCTTAAGCGCCTCTGTCGTGTCGAAACACCAAGGCACAAGCGAAGCAAAGCATATCGAGGCACCAGCGAGTCAACCCTCGGAAGTTGAAGTAACTGCTGGAGGTTACGCGAAAGTCAAAGGTCAGCGACCTTTGACCTGACAAGTACAGCGCGACAGCAAGGACACACAACTGACTCGCTACAGAGCAGTTGCCCGAGTCGTCACTGTATCGAACCGCAACAGCAACAGTAAAAGTAGTTACAACCGTATCTCTTCGTATTCCTTGTACTCTTATATATATAATCTTGTATCTCTTTGTTTTCATCAACTTACTTTGCCCTCACATACTAGCGCAAGGTGGTTCACAATCTTTCATTAAAACGCTTCCGCTATTACAGTCCTACCCAGAGTTCATCCCTGTAAAGATCCTAAGGGCTTTTCTCAGCCCATCACATCTAACCAAACCAGTGCAAAAAGCCAGTAAAACAATAGTTTCAGTAACAGTGACTACACTACACCTTGCCCTCGTACTTGTAAGATTCGTCATAGCTTTGCTTCAAGCGGGCAAGAGCGGCCCTTCGGGAATGACCTGCAGGGGGATAATACGGTGAAGGGGAGGATAAAGGAGGCACTAAGAGAGGCATGGGCAGGGACAGCACTTCATGGGGCCAGGAAGAAGGGAAAGACAGCAAGGGAGGAGAACACTCTATGGGATGTACAAGTAAGGCAGGAGATAATGGAAGGGTGGAGGGGAGGAGAAGGGGGGAGGAGTGGAGGAAAGGAGGGAGGGTACTGTCTGGATCCGAGCGCCATGCACAGGAACTTCAGGCCGTGACGTGCAGTACGCACACATCCTTAAGTGCGAGGCACAGGCGTGGTAGCAGGCAAGGGACGGTTGGTGGGGATGATAGACGAGAGGAGGAGAGGGGAGGACAGAGGGGAGTGATAAAAGAGAGGATAGAAGCAAGTGAGGGTTCTGACCTGATATGGCAGGCATCGGTACGGCAGCAAGGGAAGGCTAGAAGATAGAAGGGAAGGGAGGGTTCTGACCTGATCCGAGCGCCATGTGCAGGAACTGCAGGTCGTGCGGTGCGCACACATCCATAAGCGCGAACGCCCCTGGCTCCAACGCTGCTTCCACAGTGCTGCGGGGTTGAATGCGGTGGAGTGGGGTGGATGGGAGAGGGTTGCTTGTGGTGATGGTATGAGGTGGTTGCTTGGATGGGGTGACATGGTGATGGGGTGATGTACTTTTGTGCTGATGTGCTTAGGTGGTGCTGTGCTTATGCAGTGATGTGCTGTCGCGCTGATGTGGTGGTGTGGTAACATATTCCTGTGCTCATAATGTTGATCCATGAGCAGACACATGACCCAGGAGTAGCAACAGCAGGAAAGCAAGACAAGCTCTGAATTCTCTAAAAAACACACCTGGGCAATCCGATAACCTGCTGCTGCTGTTGGTTGCTCTGCTGACCAACACCAGCTCCAGGGCTGATGGGATCGAAGCTAGCAGTGGTGAAGGGCGACTGAAGCTGCTGGAGCAGAGCTGCTGCTGGAGTGGTGGGTGAGGCGGTGGCGACGGTGGCAGTGGTGGTGATGGCGATGATGTAGTCTGCCAATAGCAGCGGACAGATCTTGCTGAGCGTGGTACGCTGCTCCGATACCTGCCATGCAGATAGGAGAGGGATGGGAGAGATGTAAATAGGATGGTAGTGTCATGAATCTGGTCAGTTAGTGGCAGTGGTGGTGGTGGTGGTGGTGGTGGCGATGATGTAGTCTGCCAATAGCAACGGACAGATCTTGCTGAGCGTGGTACGCTGCTCCGATACCTGGAGTGTGGAGAAGGGGAGGATGGAGGTGAAGTGAAATGAGGATGGGAGTGAAGTGAAATGAGGATGGGAGTGGTGGGTGTAGCGGTGGCTACGGTGTCAGTGGTGGTGATGGTGATGTTGCAGTCTGCCAATAGCAGCGGACAGATCTTGCTGAGAGTAGCGCGCTGCTCCGATTCCTGTTATGGAGAGGAGGAGAGGACGATAGAATAAGAGTAAAGTGAAACCAGTCGGAGGAGGATGGGAGTGACATGAAACTGGTCAGACGATATGGTCAGCAAGCAGCAGCGGGCAGATCTTGTTGAGCGTAGAGCGCTGCCGATACCTGTTATGGAGAGGAGGAGAGTAGGAGAAGAGGAGAGGAGGAGAGGAGGAGAGGAGTCAAATTATAACAGTAAGCGATGACAGGATGCCTTGTTCAATTGATCTTTTGTTCATTGACAGGATGACAGGCAAGTGACAAGGAAGGGGAGGGAGTAAAAGCTTCTATCTTGAACAAGTGAGATTCCATTGTTGCCAAAAATGAGTAGGAGGGAAGGGACTCGCTTGCGATTGGCAGTGTGAGGGGGAAGCAATGAAGGAGAAAGCATCAACAGGAGCAGAGTGGGAGACGGGGTCTCGTGGCTACCAATCACCACACAGAACCATACAATCACCGTACAATCGCCGCACAGCACCGCGTAGCACAGCACTGCATAGCACAGCACCGTATGCACTGACCTCATCATACACCCGTCTCAGCCACAGCGCACAGCTGGCAGCCGTGGCTTCATTATAGTCACAAGCGAGAGGCAGAGAAGAGAGGTTGGAGGAGAGAGTGGAGGAGGAGGCGAGTGCTTGCGAGGAGGACGATGGGGAGGGGGAGGAGAAGAAGGGGGAGGAGGGCGAGAGGAGGGCGAGAGGAGGGCGAGAGGAGGGCGAGAGGAGGGCGAGAGGAGGGCGAGAGGAGGGCGAGAGGAGGGCGAGAGGAGGGCGAGAGGAGGGTGAGAGGAGGGCGAGAGGAGGGCGAGAGGAGGGCGAGAGGAGGGCGAGAGGAGGGCGAGAGGAGGGCGAGAGGAGGGTGAGAGGAGGGCGAGAGGAGGGCGAGAGGAGGGCGAGAGGAGGGCGAGAGGAGGGCGAGAGGAGGGTGAGAGGAGGGCGAGAGGAGGGCGAGAGGAGGGTGAGAGGAGGGTGAGAGGAGGGTGAGAGGAGGGTGAGAGGAGGGTGAGAGGAGGGTGAGAGGAGGGTGAGAGGAGGGTGAGAGGAGGGTGAGAGGAGGGTGAGAGGAGGGTGAGAGGAGGGTGAGAGGAGGGTGAGAGGAGGGTGAGAGGAGGGTGAGAGGAGGGTGAGAGGAGGGTGAGAGGAGGGTGAGAGGAGGGTGAGAGGAGGGTGAGAGGAGGGTGAGAGGAGGGCGAGAGGAGGGCGAGAGGAGGGCGAGAGGAGGGCGAGAGGAGGGCGAGAGGAGGGCGAGAGGAGGGCGAGAGGAGGGCGAGAGGAGGGCGAGAGGAGGGCGAGAGGAGGGCGAGAGGAGGGCGAGAGGAGGGCGAGAGGAGGGCGAGAGGAGGGCGAGAGGAGGGTGAGAGGAGGGTGAGAGGAGGGTGAGAGGAGGGTGAGAGGAGGGTGAGAGGAGGGTGAGAGGAGGGTGAGAGGAGGGTGAGAGGAGGGTGAGAGGAGGGTGAGAGGAGGGTGAGAGGAGGGTGAGAGGAGGGTGAGAGGAGGGTGAGAGGAGGGTGAGAGGAGGGCGAGAGGAGGGCGAGAGGAGGGCGAGAGGAGGGCGAGAGGAGGGCGAGAGGAGGGCGAGAGGAGGGTGAGAGGAGGGTGAGCGGAGGGTGAGCGGAGGGTGAGCGGAGGGTGAGAGGAGGGTGAGAGGAGGGTGAGAGGAGGGTGAGCGGAGGGTGAGCGGAGGGTGAGCGGAGGGTGAGCGGAGGGTGAGAGGAGGGTGAGAGGAGGGTGAGAGGAGGGTGAGAGGAGGGTGAGAGGAGGGTGAGAGGAGGGTGAGAGGAGGGTGAGAGGAGGGTGAGAGGAGGGTGAGAGGAGGGTGAGAGGAGGGTGAGAGGAGGGTGAGAGGAGGGTGAGAGGAGGGTGAGAGGAGGGTGAGAGGAGGGTGAGAGGAGGGTGAGAGGTGGGTGAGAGGAGGGTGAGAGGAGGGTGAGAGGAGGGTGAGAGGAGGGTGAGAGGAGGGTGAGAGGAGGGTGAGAGGAGGGTGAGAGGAGGGTGAGAGGAGGGTGAGAGGAGGGTGAGAGGAGGGTGAGAGGAGGGTGAGAGGAGGGTGAGAGGAGGGTGAGAGGAGGGTGAGAGGAGGGTGAGAGGAGGGTGAGAGGAGGGTGAGAGGAGGGCGAGAGGAGGGCGAGAGGAGGGCGAGAGGAGGGCGAGAGGAGGGCGAGAGGAGGGCGAGAGGAGGGCGAGAGGAGGGCGAGAGGAGGGCGAGAGGAGGGCGAGAGGAGGGCGAGAGGAGGGCGAGAGGAGGGCGAGAGGAGGGCGAGAGGAGGGCGAGAGGAGGGCGAGAGGAGGGCGAGAGGAGGGTGAGAGGAGGGTGAGAGGAGGGTGAGAGGAGGGTGAGAGGAGGGTGAGAGGAGGGTGAGAGGAGGGTGAGAGGAGGGTGAGAGGAGGGTGAGAGGAGGGCGAGAGGAGGGCGAGAGGAGGGCGAGAGGAGGGCGAGAGGAGGGCGAGAGGAGGGCGAGAGGAGGGCGAGAGGAGGGCGAGAGGAGGGCGAGAGGAGGGCGAGAGGAGGGCGAGAGGAGGGCGAGAGGAGGGCGAGAGGAGGGTGAGAGGAGGGTGAGAGGAGGGTGAGAGGAGGGTGAGAGGAGGGTGAGAGGAGGGTGAGAGGAGGGTGAGAGGAGGGTGAGAGGAGGGTGAGAGGAGGGTGAGAGGAGGGTGAGAGGAGGGTGAGAGGAGGGCGAGAGGAGGGCGAGAGGAGGGCGAGAGGAGGGCGAGAGGAGGGCGAGAGGAGGGCGAGAGGAGGGCGAGAGGAGGGCGAGAGGAGGGTGAGAGGAGGGTGAGAGGAGGGCGAGAGGAGGGCGAGAGGAGGGCGAGAGGAGGGCGAGAGGAGGGCGAGAGGAGGGTGAGAGGAGGGCGAGAGGAGGGCGAGAGGAGGGCGAGAGGAGGGCGAGAGGAGGGCGAGAGGAGGGCGAGAGGAGGGCGAGAGGAGGGCGAGAGGAGGGCGAGAGGAGGGTGAGAGGAGGAGAGAGGAGGGTGAGAGGAGGGTGAGAGGAGGGTGAGAGGAGGGTGAGAGGAGGGTGAGAGGAGGGTGAGAGGAGGGTGAGAGGAGGGTGAGAGGAGGGTGAGAGGAGGGTGAGAGGAGGGTGAGAGGAGGGTGAGAGGAGGGTGAGAGGAGGGTGAGAGGAGGGTGAGAGGAGGGTGAGAGGAGGGTGAGAGGAGGGCGAGAGGAGGGCGAGAGGAGGGCGAGAGGAGGGCGAGAGGAGGGCGAGAGGAGGGCGAGAGGAGGGCGAGAGGAGGGCGAGAGGAGGGCGAGAGGAGGGCGAGAGGAGGGCGAGAGGAGGGCGAGAGGAGGGCGAGAGGAGGGCGAGAGGAGGGCGAGAGGAGGGTGAGAGGAGGGTGAGAGGAGGGTGAGAGGAGGGTGAGAGGAGGGTGAGAGGAGGGTGAGAGGAGGGTGAGAGGAGGGTGAGAGGAGGGTGAGAGGAGGGTGAGAGGAGGGTGAGAGGAGGGTGAGAGGAGGGTGAGAGGAGGGTGAGAGGAGGGTGAGAGGAGGGCGAGAGGAGGGCGAGAGGAGGGCGAGAGGAGGGCGAGAGGAGGGCGAGAGGAGGGCGAGAGGAGGGCGAGAGGAGGGCGAGAGGAGGGCGAGAGGAGGGCGAGAGGAGGGTGAGAGGAGGGTGAGAGGAGGGTGAGAGGAGGGTGAGAGGAGGGCGAGAGGAGGGCGAGAGGAGGGCGAGAGGAGGGCGAGAGGAGGGCGAGAGGAGGGCGAGAGGAGGGCGAGAGGAGGGCGAGAGGAGGGCGAGAGGAGGGCGAGAGGAGGGCGAGAGGAGGGCGAGAGGAGGGTGAGAGGAGGGTGAGAGGAGGGTGAGAGGAGGGTGAGAGGAGGGTGAGAGGAGGGTGAGAGGAGGGTGAGAGGAGGGTGAGAGGAGGGTGAGAGGAGGGTGAGAGGAGGGTGAGAGGAGGGTGAGAGGAGGGTGAGAGGAGGGCGAGAGGAGGGCGAGAGGAGGGCGAGAGGAGGGCGAGAGGAGGGCGAGAGGAGGGTGAGAGGAGGGTGAGAGGAGGGTGAGAGGAGGGTGAGAGGAGGGTGAGAGGAGGGTGAGAGGAGGGTGAGAGGAGGGTGAGAGGAGGGTGAGAGGAGGGTGAGAGGAGGGTGAGAGGAGGGTGAGAGGAGGGTGAGAGGAGGGTGAGAGGAGGGTGAGAGGAGGGTGAGAGGAGGGTGAGAGGAGGGTGAGAGGAGGGTGAGAGGAGGGCGAGAGGAGGGCGAGAGGAGGGCGAGAGGAGGGCGAGAGGAGGGCGAGAGGAGGGCGAGAGGAGGGCGAGAGGAGGGCGAGAGGAGGGCGAGAGGAGGGCGAGAGGAGGGCGGAGGAGGGTGAGAGGAGGGTGAGAGGAGGGTGAGAGGAGGGTGAGAGGAGGGTGAGAGGAGGGTGAGAGGAGGGTGAGAGGAGGGTGAGAGGAGGGTGAGAGGAGGGTGAGAGGAGGGTGAGAGGAGGGTGAGAGGAGGGTGAGAGGAGGGTGAGAGGAGGGTGAGAGGAGGGTGAGAGGAGGGTGAGAGGAGGGTGAGAGGAGGGCGAGAGGAGGGCGAGAGGAGGGCGAGAGGAGGGCGAGAGGAGGGCGAGAGGAGGGCGAGAGGAGGGCGAGAGGAGGGCGAGAGGAGGGCGAGAGGAGGGCGAGAGGAGGGCGAGAGGAGGGCGAGAGGAGGGCGA